CCCCAAAACCCCAAAACCCCAAAACCCCAAAACCCCAAAACCCCTTAAGTTTAAATCATTATTGATTAATTTTTATCAAAGTATAATAAATAAATCAAATGTCAAAATTCAAGGATGAGTATAAGGAAATCAAACTTATTGGAAGAGGTAACTTCGGTGCCGCCAGCTTAGTCGAGCATAAAGCCACCGGTAAGAAATTCGTGTCTAAATAAGATCCTCCTCAGCACTCTGAGTGAGAAAGAACAGCAAGGCGCTTTACTCGAAGCAAATCTGCTCAGGCAGCTAGACCATGCTCATATTGTCAGCTACGAGTCGAGTTTCATTGAGAAAGGCCAGCTCATCATCGTCATGGAGTACTGAGAAGTTGGCGATCTCGCCTATCACATTAAAAAGAAATAAGGCCAAGAAAGAGAACTTCACCGAAGATGAGATATTAAATTGGTTCATCCAGATCGCAATTGCGCTGGAATATATCCACGGCCGCAAAGTCATCCACAGAGACATCAAGACCTCCAACATATTCTTGACTGGTAACGGAACTGTCAAGCTCGGAGACTTCGGAATTTCGAGGGTGCTAGAGAACACCAACGAGGCTGCCATGACTGTGGTCGGGACACCCTACTACATGAGTCCAGAAGTCTGTGAGAGCAAGCCCTACACCTTCAAGTCTGACGTGTGGGCACTTGGCTGAGTCCTCTACGAGTTGTGAACTTTGCAGCATGCATTCTTAGCAGACAATTTGCTTGGACTTGTGTATAAGATCGTCAAAGGGACTTACGACAGCATTCCTTCTGTATACAGCGACGACATGCGCGAAGTCGTTGACAAAATACTCAGCAAAGACGAGTCCCAGAGGCCAACTGTGCAAGAAATTTTGTTGATGCCATATCTGAAAGCGAAAATGGAAGAGTTCATTCTTAACCAAGGAGACATCGGAACCACAGACCTCAAAGTCAGAGCCATCAAACCTGAGGAAACCAGAGATGAAGAAGAAAAAGAACTTCTTAAAGGACTCACTGGCTCAGCTTATCTCAAAAAGAAGAAGGAACTTGCTGCGCAGAGAGAAGCCGACCGCATCAAAGAAGCCATGAAAGGCAGCTACTCACACTACGGAGCTGCCAAAGAACGCAAGTATAACGAGTTTTACACTTCGAAAGGCGAAGAAGGATTCACCAAACACCCAGGTGAAGAACAAGCTGAGGCACCAGTTCATGCAACAGGAGGCTCTCCGAGCAAGCAGTTCCAGATCGACCCAAACTCAGCCAGTTCGTTCGGAGTCAACGACAGATACGAAGACACTTATGAGCTGTCGAACTCGATGGGTACCCAGATCTCGCAGTTGACAGAGCACGATAGGCCAGCGCCCATGGGTTCGAAGAAGTTCTCAAATTACCATTATGACGACAGGGAAATCAAAGCCTCTGGAAGTTACAAGTTTGAAGAGCACAAGCAAGATGATGAAGACTACCTTGACGACTTCGAAGATGCAACCAGAGACGAGAACCAGATGACCGGAGTCCTTGACAATTACAGGAGAATTCTGTCTGGAGACATCCATGACTATGGAGAAGACCCTCTCAAGAAGCATGACTCCGAACCATTCTCGCCAATATCTGAAGCTCCATCAGCCGATGAGTTTGACCCTGGAACAATCAGAGACTTAGCGAGTCAGAAAGAACAGAACGCCATTCGGGAGTATTTCGGTGATGAAAACTACGAAGTGATGTACGATTATTTGCTTGAAGCAAGGCGCAACAATGTTGATGACGCAACTATCCAGGACCAACTCAAGAAGTTCGTAGGTCCGACTAACAAAGAAGCCCTGAGCATGTGATTCAAACTGGACATGATCGCCTTCAAAGAGTCGTACTCGAAGTAAAGCTTCAATATTTGTAAACGGGAAGGGGTTTTGGGGTTTTGGGGTTTTGGGGTTTTGGGG